TTCATGGAAGAGCAAGTACCTTGGGAATTGCGACCATATTGTACTGCGCAATATTATGATGCCGAATTGGGAGAGTGGGAGGAACCAGCTGCACCAAAACCGATAGAACATCGGGAAGAACTACGTATGTTTGCACAAAACTACTATAATGGCATCAACGCTAACAACAACAGCCAAGCAAATCATAAACAACACTCATCAAATAAAAATTGGTGGCCAAGCAATGATTTGAAACGAAATATTTGCATCTACGCGAATTCCAATTCGTCTTTACATCTAGTGAATTATGGTCGATTATGAACGATGTGGAAATTGATAATTAAACTTAAAAAAAAGAAAAAACAAAATAATGTAGTTTGGTTAATAATGAACCGATATTAAAAATTAAGGAATTCTTATATTCACATAGGTGTTAGTACTTTTTGAAATAATAAAGTATATAACTTATCGCAGTTATTGCACATGCGAGACATTTTCCTTCTGTAAAAAAGTTTCAATTAATATTTGGCTATAATTTAACTTATAGAATACTAACCTGTCGATCGATCTGAACTTGAACGGTAAAGAAATTGATCTGTGAAAATAATAATGTAATAATTATATTGAATACATAAATAACTTACTTTTAAAAAATACACCGTCCGTCCGTTTGATTATTTTAAAATATTATGCCAGTACTGCTATTGAGCATGACAAAATAGTGTTGCGTAAGCTAATTTAAACTACTTTTTACTACTATATAGATATTGCAAATTTAAAAAATTATTCCTTTAAGAGTCTTTTTTATTTGTAAACTTAGCTTAGAACTAAAAAATTATATCGTAAATCTGTTAGGATGGTGAAACACTCCATTTGGGAACACTCCATAGGAATCCTGATCGCAGGCGTATAGCTAAATTCTGACATATAAAACGTGTATATAGTTTGTCATTACAAAATTTATACTTAAAATATCTCTTGATTTATCTTACAATAAAAAAATCGTGTTTTACTGTTCGGACGAATTATTACGATATGTAATACCAAATTTCTCGACAAAAGTTATCTCTTTTGGTCCACTCATTATCAAAAAAAAATTTCCAATTTGTCCATGAATAAGTTAACTAAAACGCTAAAAAATATATAGCATATTTATTTATATCAAGAAGATATATTTAAATCTTTTGATAACAGCTTTAAATTTCATTCTATAAGCAAAATTTAAAATAGTATTTATAAATGTATAAATATAGTACTGTAAATATATAATTTAATATTAAGGCATTTTTGCTTTACGCAACCCGTTTTAACCTCTCGCCACCCTTATTCACCAGAGGTGGCCATGATACGATCGTACACTTGGGGGTAGCTTAAGGACTATGAATGGCTCCTTTACTACGGTGAATGGGACTTTCCTTACTCCCTTGTACCATGATACCACTTTTGAGGGTTTCAAAACCTACTCTTTCACTACTAAATACTATTTACATTTGTGCGTGTATTTTTCGTTTCGAGCTTCATTTCAATTATTGTATTCACAGTTTATGGGAAATTTCATATATGGCAACTTTGCCCCATATTTGACATTTAAACTGTGAGCGCACAAAGTTAATTTTATTACTAATGAATTTTTAATTCTTGAATAAAAATGTCTCATTTAAATGGAAAGCAAAATATATTGAACCCTCTCAGCTGCAAATATATACTGCACATAACCACTAATGATTCTAATATGTATATATACTTTTTTTGGCACAGGGATTCGTTTGGGCATACCATGCAACTATCCTGGAATGGCGTCACGCGCATCTGCGTTGGCTGGGGGTGGTGGTGGTGGTGCCTTCCTTTTCGTTGGTGCGTAAAAAGCCTCTTTTATAAACTGCAATTTGTCATGCTTGAACATACTTCTCCACTCACCGTCACCGCGACGTATGATCTCTACCGCCGCTAGCCCAGTATTGCGCAGAAGGAATTCACGTAGGAAGTTCAAATATGGATTACGATGAAGTGTCCCGCTGGGCCGGTGGCATTTTCCAGTTTTAAAAAACGAAAAATGTTTTTTGAATTCTCACTTAAAATTTTTTATGATTAAATATTTTACATAATAACTACGTATGGCTGAAACCAAAGTATAACCTAAATTTATTTTGTATTTGAATATTAAAATAATTAGTAATTATGGTGTTAAATTGTAGACTATATAAAACGTTTGTATTTTAGCACATTACACGTTTTGCTTTATTCAATATCAAACAAGAAAGTAAGTGCTACAAAATGACAATTCAATTATAAAAGGTTACATGACATTTAGCGGTAGATGGCGCAAAACACGGCGCAGTGCTGCCAGAATAGTGACTGTCACATAATAGACAAATGAACGTGGTTTTTATATGAATGAATGATGATTAGGAATGCACTGCGACCTTTGGTCTATTGTACCCTCTCCTTACTCACATTGACTCGCTTAGCCCCAGCCCATTAATGAAATCCAGTAGACTGCTTGGCGCTAGCGAGGCAATGCGATCCCTATCCGGATACCGAACTCCAAGGGCCTAGGCTCTCCTACTACAGACTGCTGGGCAGTCGATCAACAGATGCTCCCTGTCACAGAAACAGCAGTTGGCGCAAGCTGATAGGCCGTGGCCAGTATACCATGCGACTAACAGCCTGAGTTTGCTCCTGGGGAGGTTTATTACGATTTTGAAACTTTTCAGGTTGTAACCTCCCACTAGCAGCTTGGCGTGGCGTCTCATACCATGAGTTTGTCGCCAGTGCTCTTCCCTGCCTGCTCTTCCCTTTTTACGGAGCAGCTCCTTGATGGTGTGGGGACCCACTCTTGTAAAGGGTTCGGGTCCTACCATCATGGTGGAGGCTGCGGAGCGGGCGAGCTCGCCCGCGAGTTCATTGCCGGCTATACCTTTGTGACCAGGCACCCATATCAGGTGTACCTGGTTTCCCTCCGCAAGGCTATTCAGCCTCTCCATGCACTCCTGCACTAGAAGCGGCTTAATCTCGTAAGAGGAGATCGCCTTTAGCTAGAAAATGCTTGGGAACTCACCCATGGGTACTGGGAGCCTAGTGCGTGGGCCCACAATCTCTGCGCCAATTCCCTCCGACATTTTAGGGCCATCTGTGTACCACCTTATAGTACTGTTCCTCAACAACCGCTCGAGGTTGGAGTCGTTCCAATCATCTTTGCTGCCGAGGGTAACCTTAAACCTCTTGCTTAGGTTAACCTTTTTAGTAGTACTATCCATCCTCTGGGATGAGACTATTTTTCCTTTTCCACACCCCTCTGCCTTTATTTGCAGAAGAGTGTGTTTGGCTACCAGACCGATGACCAGATGAAGCGGAGTAAGTTCAAGAAGAACCTCCAGTGGCGCCGTTGGACAGGTTCGCATTGTGCCCATCAGGCAGACACAGGCCAGCCTCTGCAGCTTCAATAGTTGTGTCCTAGCCGATGTTTGCGACGCTACTGAGGCCCAGGCTACCGCCCCATATGTGATTATCGGTCTTACTATCATGGTGTACAACCACTGCCAGTCGATTACACACCATTAAGGCCTTTGTCGCTTTGACTAATGTCCGGTTTACGTGCTGCTTCCACCTCAGCGTGGAGTCTAACGTTAAACCGAGGTATTTAACAATGTCGGTCATCCTTATTTCACTACCCCCCAGTAGGAGATTTCTAAGGTCGGGTAGGGTCCTGCGTCTCGTAAATGGGATTACAGACGTCTTGGAGGGGTTGATATTTAGTTCAACCTCTTTACACCACCCCTTCGCTAGGTTGAGACCTCTTTGGATCAAGTCACAAAGAGTGTCTTCAAATCTCCCCCTTGCCGTAATGACAATGTCGTCCGCGTACCCTTGGCAGTGGATCCCATTGTGATTTTTATATAAAGATATAAAAAATGTATTCAAAGCTGCCGTCATTTTTTAATAATTGTGTAAATATTTTTATTTTTATTCAACTGCCAGGTATGTGCTGCGCATCAGGAAAAGTTATGCTGTCATCTCTACCTACTCCGCTCGAACCTTCCTTATCCCTTCTTGCTGGTGATTCAGCTGATCCAAAATTATTTCTTCGTMAGATACGCAAATTTAATTCTTTCTTATGATGAAACGACGTCGTTTGGGGCAACTAAAATTTGCAATTTCAAACCAGATGGTCATGATTTTAAAACTGCATTCAAAATATTATATAAGTCCAAGTATACCAAAAAATTGGGTCATGATGCCAATTACTGGCAATAATTTTACTTGTTTTGAAGAATACCATACCAGAATTTTTGCAAATATTGCAAGTTGGTGTTTCTGTTAGTTTTAAACGTAACGTCCACCATCCCAGAGCGTTGATGCCACTGCGAGTGTAATTCATTTCTGCGTTCATGGATGCCAGTGTCAAATTCATCAGGTATGTTTTGATTGTCTTTTTCCCTTAATATTCTTTGATTTTAGGTCCCACTTTTTTTTATTACTATGATTCTGTGAAGAAACAATCAATTGAAAACGCACCAGTATACGGATACATTCATGGCACTACAACTTACCTGGAATTCCTAAAAATCCTTAATTATTTACTTTATTAAGTAAGTGTTACAAAATTTCAATTCAATTATAAAAGCTTACATGACATTTAGCGATAGATGGCGCATAACACGGCCCAGTGCTGCCACAGTCCTTTTAACATAGTACCATCTGTTGAATACTTACTTAATCCAAGCAATACTTACCGCCATCTGTTAGAATCTTTTGAAGCTAACAAAATAATTGTGACTGTCACATAAT